CTAACGCTGTGAAAGGGAACAGGACCTAACGCTGTAATAGGGGACATTGACCTAACGCTGTAATAGGGGATAGGGACCTAACGCTGTAATAGGGAACATGGACCTAACGCTGTAATAGGGGACATGGACCTAACTCTGTAATAGGGGACAGGGACGTAACGCTGTAATAGGGGGCATGGACCTAACGCTGCAATAGGGGACAGGGCCTAACGCTGCTATAGGGGACAAGGACCTAACGCAATTAATCAACCTTTCACGTATTCCATGGTAGGCGGCTTTAATACGTTGTACGTCCTAAACCGCTTTAATTTTAGGTAAATTGATACGGCAAGGTTACGAAGTACTAACACGGGTAAAGATTAATCACATACAATGCTAGTCTTGTTCTGAGATTTTATTGATGTCTCATTTAAGAATGCACGCTGTAATTGCATCAAACTCACTTCACAATTTCTAGGACTTGGAAGTAAATACCTAAAGGCCTCCAATATAATGGTAATTATGCACAAATGTGATAAACTCTGTAAATTTTCAGATGTTGAATGTAATCAGTTTTAGTTTTCGATGTGGTACATGTAATAGTGCACGTGCCTCGGCTGATATATTTTTATTCACTATTTATAGACGGCAGAACTTGAGCTAATCACGGACACGCCGGGATAATCACACTAATACTCATTGATAAGGTTGTGTTGACCTATAGAAACATATAGCTGGATTCCTTAAGTTTGTATGTTACTGTATGTACATCTAGAATCTGTTAATTTGTTGATGGTATTGTATGTACATCTAGAATATTTTAGTTTGTTGAAGGTACTGTATGTACATCTAGAATCTGTTAGTTTGTTGATGGTACTGTATGTACATCTAGAATCTGTTAGTTTGTTGATGGTACTGTATGTACATCTAGAATCTGTTAGTTTGTTGATGGTAGTGTATGTACATCTAGAATCTGTTAGTTTGTATGGTACTGTATGTACATCTAAAATCTGTTAGTTTGTATGTTACTGTATGTACATCTAGAATCTGTTAGTTTGTATGGTACTGTATGTACATCTAGAATCTGTTAGTTTGTATGGTACTGTACGTACATCTAAAATCTGTTAGTTTGTATGGTACTGTACGTACATCTAAAATCTGTTAGTTTGTGTGTTACTGTATGTACATCTAGAATCTGCTAGTTTGTATGGTACTGTATGTACATCTAGAATCTTATAGTTTGTATGGTACTGTATGTACATCTCGAATCTGTTAGTTTGTATGGTACTGTATGTACATCCAGAATCTGTTATTTTGTTGATGGTAGTGTATGTACATCTAGAATCTGTTAGTGTGTATGGTACTGTATGTACATCTAGAATCTGTTATTTTGTTGATGGTACTGTATGTAGATCTAGAATCTGTTAGTTTGTATGGTACTGTATGTACATCTAGAATCTGTTATTTTTTTGATGGTACTGTATTTACATCTAGAATCTGTTATTTTGTTGATGATACTGTATGTAGATCTAGAATCTGTTATTTTGTTGATGATACTGTATGTACATCTCGAATCTGTTAGTTTGTTTTGGATACTTGCCCGTTGTGGGTACTGTCCCGTTTTTAGTAGTATGTACATCTAGAATCTGTTATTTTGTTGATGGTACTGTATGTACATCTAGAATCTGTTAGTTTGTTTTGGATACTGTCCCGTTTTGGGTACTGTCCCGTTTTTGGTACTGTCCTTTCTGAGTACTTTCCCGTTTTGGGTACTGTCCCGTTTTGGGTACTGTCCCGTTTTAGGTACTGTCGTGTTTCGGGTACTGTCCCGTTTTGGGTACTGTCCCATTTTGGGTACTGTCCCTTTTTTGGTACTGTCCTTATTGGGTACCGTCCCGTTTTTGATACTGTCCCGTTTTAGGTTCTGTCGTGTTTCGGGTACTGTCCCGTTTTGGGTACTGTCCCATTTTGGGTATTGTCCCGTTTTGGGTACTCTCCCATTTTGGGTACTGTCCCGTTTTGGGAACTATCCCGTTTTGGATACTGTCCCGTTTTGGGTACTGTCCCGTTTTTGTACTGTCTTTTTTGAGTACTTTCCCTTTTTGGGTACTGTACCGTTTTGGGTACTGTCCTGTTTTGGGTACTGTCCCAGTTTGGGTACTGTCCCATTTTGGGTACTGTCCCGTTTTGAGTACTGTCCCAGTTTGGGTACTGTCCCTTTTTGGGAACTGTCCCGTTTTGAGTACTGACCTTTTTGGGTACTGTCTCGTTTTGGGTATTGTCCCGTTTCGGGTACTGTTACTTTTTGGGTATTGTCCCATTTTGGGTACTGTCCCGTTTTGGGTACTGTCCCTTTTTTGGTGATGTCCTGTTTCGGGTACTTTCCCGTTTTGGATACTGTCCTGTTCTGGGTACTGTCCTTTTGGTACTGTCCCGTTTTGAGTACTTTTTTTTTGGTACTGTCCCATTTTGGGTACTGTCCTTTGGGTACTGTCCCTTTTTGGGTACTGTCCCATTTTGGGGACTGTCCTTTGGGTACTGTCCCTTTTTGGGTACTGTCCCGTTTTGGGTACTGTACGGTTTTGGGTACTGTCCCTTTTTGAGTACTGTCCCGTTTTGGGTACTGCCCTTTGGGTACTCTCCCGTTTTGGGTACTGTCCCGTTTTGGGTACTGTCCCGTTTTGGGTACTGTATATTTTGGGTACTGTCCCGTTTTGGGTACTGTCCTTTGGGTACTGTCCCGTTTTGGGTACTGTCCCTTTTTGGGTACTGTCCCGTTTTGGGTACTGTCCTTTGGGTACTGTCCCTTTTTGGGTACTGTCCTGTTTTAGGTACTGTCCCGTTTTGGGTACTGTATATTTTGGGTACTGTCCCGTTTTGGGTACTGTCCTTTGGGTACTGTCCCGTTTTGGGTACTGTCCCTTTTTGGGTACTGTCCCGTTTTGGGTACTGTCCTTTGGGTACTGTCCCTTTTTGGGTACTGTCCTGTTTTAGGTACTGTCCCGTTTTGGGTACTGTATATTTTGGGTACTGTCCCGTTTTGGGTACTGTCCTTTGGGTACTGTCCCGTTTTGGGTACTGTCCCTTTTTGGGTACTGTCCCTTTTTGGGTACTGTCCCGTTTTGGGTACAGTCCCTTTTTGGGTACTGTCCCGTTTTGGGTACTGTATTTTGGATACTGTCCTTTGGGTCCTGTCCCGTTTTGGGTACTGTCTCATTTTGGGTACTGTCCCTTTTTGGGTACTGTCCCTTTTTGTGTACCGTCCCGTTTTAGGTACTGTCCCTTTTTGGGTACTGTCCCGTTTTGGGTAATGTCGCGTTTTGGGTACTGTCCCTTTTTTGGTACTGTCCCGTTTTGGGTACTGTCCCTTTTTGGGTACCGTCCCGTTTTGGGTATTGTCCCTTTTTGGGTACTCTGCCGTTTTGGGTACTGTCCCGTTTTGGGTACTGTCCCGTTTTTAGTATTATGACGTTAGAGATGATTCATCCACTGTATAAGCGCATTTCAGAATGAAAGGTAAATCAGTGATAAAACGCAAACAAATAGCGATGATGCGAACTGTAAATTAGATATGATAGGTAAAGGGAAAAGGCGACGTTACGGAAAGATGATGTGTATAGCAAGTTAGCCACGGTAGACACTATGGTATTAGGAGAAAATTAACGAGGAGTGAATTAGAGATGATACGATGGTTGAATTAGTGATGATACGAGGGTTGAATTAGTGATGATACGAGGGTTGAATTAGTGATGATTTGAGGAGTGAATTAGTGATGATACGAGGATTGAATTAGTGATGATACGATGGTTGAATTAGTGATGATACGATGGTTGAATTAGTGATGATACGATGGTTGAATTAGTGATGATACGAGGGTTGAATTAGTGATGATACGAGGGTTGAATTAGTGATGATACGAGGGTTGAATTAGTGATGATATGAGGATTGAATTAGTGATGATTTGAGGAGTGAATTAGTGATGATACGAGGATTGAATTAGTGATGATACGATGGTTGAATTAGTGATGATACGATGGTTGAATTAGTGATGATACGATGGTTGAATTAGTGATGATACGATGGTTGAATTAGTGATGATACGATGGTTGAATTAGTGATGATACGATGGTTGAATTAGTGATGATACGATGGTTGAATTAGTGATGATACGATGGTTGAATTAGTGATGATACGATGGTTGAATTAGTGATGATACGATGGTTGAATTAGTGATGATACGATGGTTGAATTAGTGATGATACGATGGTTGAATTAGTGATGATACGATGGTTGAATTAGTGATGATACGATGGTTGAATTAGTGATGATACGATGGTTGAATTAGTGATGATACGATGGTTGAATTAGTGATGATACGATGGTTGAATTAGTGATGATACGATGGTTGAATTAGTGATGATACGATGGTTGAATTAGTGATGATACGATGGTTGAATTAGTGATGATACGATGGTTGAATTAGTGATGATACGATGTTTGAATTAGTGATGATACGATGTTTGAATTAGTGATGATACGAAGGTTAAATTAGTGATGATACGAGGGTTAAATTAGTGATGATACGATGGTTGAATTAGTGATGATACGAGGGTTGAATTAGTGATGATACGAGGGTTGAATAAGTGATGATACGAGGGTTGAATTAGTGATGATACGATGGTCGAATTAGTGATGATACGATGGTTGAGTTAGTGATGATACGAGGGTTGAATTAGTGATGATACGAGGGTTGAATTAGTGATGATACGAGGGTTGAATTAGTGATGATACGAGGGTTGAATTAGTGATGATACGATGGTTGAATTAGTGATGATACGATGGTTGAATTAGTGATGATACGATGTTTGAATTAGTGATGATACGAGGGTTAAATTAGTGATGATACGAGGGTTAAATTAGTGATGATACGAGGGTTGAAATAGTAACGTTGTAGGTGCGCATGCGCACAACAGTACGGCTTGGACTCACAAAATGCCATTGTAGTTAGCGCAACATAAATCCTCACCACGCGTTGAAGGAAATGCGGTTATATAAATTTTACACACATCGTGTGTTGCTGCTAACGTATCGGAGGGAGCCACGAGCTCTTCCCATACAGGAGATACATAGATTGGAATTCCGATTTCGTTTCAGCAAGTTTCTGTGATAGTTTCAGCACTACAGGGTCATTCACTGGTACAACTTTCGGCAGTGATGATTTACCGCCAACTTTCCGTGATTTTCTCGGCACTAACGAGCCATTGACTACCCATTTAGACTTTGTGGTTTTAGTTATTTCGCCTCGGCACTAACTGAGCACCTGACGATGGAAAGCTGAATCAACTTGTAAGTATTGGATAGTATTAATCTCTTTATTTAGGCCATACTTCAGGGTACTTTGAAAGTTATACATAGTGTCGGAAGATGTCTTATTCTCGCATTGCTACTGACGGTATATTGTGCTTCGATAGTCTGGCCACCTTCATTTCCAGCAAACGTAGTGTCCGGATTATTGCGAGTCTGGTGAATTGTCACTGTGGCAATGTTGTATATGTTGTATTTCAAAGAGCCATAGGTTTAGCACCAGTCCCATAGGTTTAGCACCAGTCCCCTGTCTTTGAAATACGATTTCAACGAAAAGTTGACGTGGCGGGGGATGTTTCGACACTGCTTACAAACGTAAGCGACCTCGTCCGAACTTTGTTGTACATGTACTACCATACTAACGTTTGTCTATAAAGTGTAGGATGCTGACTTGATGTTTCACGTATCCAAAATAGAACATATCCTCATGGAAGTAAAGTGTACAGGAATGTAAGAATATTTTGTCTTTTTTAACATTAATAAGTAAATACATATCCCTTTCTCAATCATTTACAAAACTTGCAGACGATATAGAGATATGGCGGGGACAGCAAAGCTATCTCTACAAAGTGTCTGAAGTTCTTGCCCGATTATAAATGTGTATCAATACAAAGTGTCTGAAGTTCTTGCCCAATTATAAATGTGTATCAATACAAAGTGTCTGAAGTTCTTGACCAATTATAAATGTGTATCAATACAAAGTGTCTGAAGTTCTTGACCAATTATAAATGTGTATCAATACAAAGTGTCTGAAGTTCGTGCCCAATTATAAATGTGTATCAATACAAAGTGTCTGAAGTTCGTGCCCAATTATAAATGTGTATCAATACAAAGTGTCTGAAGTTCTTGCCCGATTACAACGCGGCTACACATACAGACAAAGCAGATGTCTGATCAACGTTAACTGATTCAGCTCGGCTAATAATAGCGACTGTATACCCATATTGTAGCCCTGATCGGTAGATCCCACATAACACTACCCTATCTACAACGAGAAAATATAGGTCATTTTAAGAGCTTATCTACAGTTTATATTTTCCAAGTTACATATATCAATTCCGATTTTTAATTGGATTCTTTTAATTTGATACATCAGTGGTTGGAATGTTGGGTGAGTATAGCAGTTGTTAGGGGGCTTGTTGAACCTTTAACAAACACCGGAATTATTTGTCTTTGTCTCGTCTGAAATCTCAAGCTTTCTCGCCTGGTATTTGGTGCAATTTGTTACATTAAATAAATAAGCGAGGCCTAACTTCAAAACCGTTATCGGGACATTCTGTACACAAACGTATAGATCGAGGAACATTTTGATATCGACCCGTCTATGTCATGAGCCTATGCTGATAAATTCCGTTTCCTGATATGATATGCCTCGCCCCAGATACCTGGATACGCAGTTAGTATAGGGTTCCAAGCCAAAACTGCATTTATATTTGAGGTAGCTATAGATTACTTTCCATCTTTGAAGGTTTCTCTCGTTTGATGCCAGTAAACAGTGTAATATTTCCGCATACATATCTTAATAAATAACTTTTATTGGAAGCACAAACAACATCGGTAGTTACTGGCCTCAGTAACTGGCAGTACGTGTTTCCTAATTTACAGCTTCCGTTATAATTGGAATAACTCTGAAGAGGGTGCGAAGTGAAACCAGTACAGTAGGAGTTATATAATTATATTAAAATATACTGGAAATAAACCAGTACAGTAGGAGTTATACAATTATATTAGAATATTCTGGAAATAAACAAGTACAGTAGGAGTTATATAATTATATTAAAATATACTGGAAATAAGTGTACAGTAGGAGTTATATAATTATATTAAAATATACTGGAAATAAACAAGTACAGTAGGAGTTATATAATTATATTAAAATATACTGGAAATAAACCAGTACAGTAGGAGTTATATAATTATATTAGAATATACTGGAAATAAACCAGTACAGTAGGAGTTATATAATTATATTAAAATATACTGGATATAAACAAGTACAGTAGGAGTTATATAATTATATTAGAATATACTGGAAATAAACCAGTACAGTAGGAGCTATATAATTATATTAAAATATACTGGATATAAACAAGTACAGTAGGAGTTATATAATTATATTAGAATATACTGGAAATAAACCAGTACAGTAGGAGCTATATAATTATATTAAAATGTACTGGAAATATTTCGAGTTAAAATTAACACAGATAAATTTGTCCTTTTACGAGGAACAACTTGGCACATCTTCATAAGGTGACTGTCCAACTTTATATTTTTGATTACTGGATGTAAAAAACTTGTCTCCGGAGTTCATAATAACCGAGGTAACATTGTTGTTCAATCTGACAATCTGACAAAGTGAACGTGATTTTCTCAAATAGTGGTAGTCAGAAAAGCATCCATGGAGTCCTTCTGGAAATAAACGCACACTTGAATTAATGTGTTCTCGTTTACGAGAGCAAATCAAGACACGGATAAGTAATTATCTCTTTATCTTTGCCTCTGCGCTGATAAAAAATATCGACATCAATCAGTTCAAACCTTTACAAACAGATTTTCTGCAACAGCGGTTACTTCGTCGACATATTTCTTTTTTTCGTCGGCCCAAGATATCTCAAAATCTCGCGAGGCAAAACGTTTGTACCAAACTATTTGTCCTGAATATATTTTACTAGTTTGACAAAAAACAGGAAATTATAGAAGACTGTGAGTACCGATGTTATATACTTGATTAATAATATATCGTCTTTACACATTACACCATTGGTATAGGCGCTTAAGCATTCTATCTCTTTACTCTTATCAGCTTAATGTAGCAATTCAATTGATATATCATAAATAAAGGTGTCTTTAGCAAAAGACAAAAGTGTGTTTCGCGTGCGTCTATACCATTCTATGTAAGTGTATGTCGTAACGAAAACTGCCATACTGTACTACACAAACGCGTCTACTGTTCCAAGACAACAGCATTGGTACCATTTTGAACAGACTGTCAATATACACCAAGGTAAGCACTTCGATATCGGCGAACATAGGTGGACCACACATTGTATCACCTATGTAATGATGCGAAAAGTAAACAAACCACAGGTTAAGTCAGAGCTATTATGATGAATTGTACTCCTCTAAACAAATGTACAAACAACTACACAGAAGTCATGTTATAGGCCAAACTCACAAACCTGTAACATAGTTCAAGTATTCCCTCCAACTAAATGCTAACAAATCTAACATAGTTTATTTTCTGACACTAACATCCTAACAGTACTACCGTTATTTTCCACAAAACAGTACCACAGATATTTTTTTACACTAGCAAACAAATCCACAGCTATCCCAGATTTAATTAAATACTGAAACAGAAGTGCCATCTCTCTTTTTCTTCCAAATGCTTACACCAGTACCGAAGACCACTTGAGGGGCCACAATTGGCCTGAGATATGTTTCTGGTATTTGTGGTGACTCACAGTGAGTAGGAGGGGGTGTAGGATTTTATGTAATGACCTGCAGGTTTTAATGAATTAACCTGTAGGTTGTAATGAATTGACCTGCAGGTTGTAATGAATTGACCTGCAGGTTGTAATGTATTGTTCTGAATTAGATTGGGAATGTGTTTGGGTCGCGGATATCACACTAGGACACGACTTTGACGTGGAATCTTAATCAAACATTTTATTCGATACATAATCGGGTTAAGGCTTGAAGTCAACACCTTTTAATTGGTAAATGACGGTCACGTGTTGTCGACTATTTCCGATGGTTATTGACTACCGTTGTGGTGACAGTATACATAACTCAACATTTTAAATGCGATTTTATCTCTGAAATTTAACTACGTAGAAGCTTCAACTGCCATTTCGACCCTCAAACGTTGTTCCCGACGCCTGTGTTTAGCACGTGTTAGAAGCCTGTGTTTAGCACGTGTTAGACGCCTGTGTTTAGCACGTGTTAGAAGCCTGTGTTTAGCACGTGTTACATGTAGAAGCCTGTGTTTAGCACGTGTTAGACGCCTGTGTTTAGCACGTGTTAGAAGCCTGTGTTTAGCACGTGTTACATGTAGAAGCCTGTGTTTAGCACGTGTTAGACGCCTGTGTTTAGCACGTGTTAGAAGCCTGTGTTTAGCACGTGTTACATGTAGAAGCCTGTGTTTAGCACGTGTTAGACGCCTGTGTTTAGCACGTGTTAGAAGCCTGTGTTTAGCACGTGTTACATGTAGAAGCCTGTGTTTAGCACGTGTTAGACGCCTGTGTTTAGCACGTGTTAGACGCCTGTGTTTAGCACGTGTTAGACGCCTGTGTTTAGCACGTGTTAGACGCCTGTGTTTAGCACGTGTTAGACGCCTGTGTTTAGCACGTGTTAGACGCCTGTGTTTAGCACGTGTTAGACGCCTGTGTTTAGCACGTGTTAGACGCCTGTGTTTAGCACGTGTTAGACGCCTGTGTTTAGCACCACGTGTAAGACGCCTGTGTTTAGCACGTGTTAGACGCCTGTGTTTAGCACGTGTTAGAAGCCTGTGTTTAGCACAGGCGTCTAACACGTGCTAAACACAGGCGCCTAACACGTGCTAAACACAGGCTTCTTACACGTGCTAAACACAGAGGTCTAACACGTGCTAAACACAGGCGCCTAACACGTGCTAAACACAGGCTTCTTACACGTGTTAGACGCCTGTGTTTAGCCCGTGTTCGACGCCTGCGTTTAGCACATGTTAGACGCCTGCGTTTAGCAAGGGTTAGACGCCTGCGTTTAGCACGTGTTAGACTCCTGTGTTTAGCACGTGTTAGACGCTTGTGTTTAGCACGTGTTAGAAGCCTGTGTTTAGCACGTGTTTGACGCCTGTGTTTAGCACGTGTTAGACGCCTGTGTTTAGCACGTGTAAGAAGCCTGTGTTTAGCACGTGTTAGGCGCCTGTGTTTAGCACGTGTTAGACGCCTGTGTTTAGCACGTGTTAACTTTGAAATGATTACAGTTATCAAAGCTCTATATAAATCGCAGGCAACCAAACTCAATGCCGTGTACAATTATGATAGCGAAACACTTTGGGGGAGCGATTATTGTTGTGAAAGTCCATCTCTCGTGCGAAACTGCATATAAATATAATTATATTTATCAATGGTACGGTATCACTGGGGTTACGTAGGTGCTAGAGTACCTGTGTATGTAGGGGTAAGGCGTGGAGTCTAACGTACACGGTGAATTACGTGTTGCACGTGAATTACCTGGGGTAGGGGGTTGTCATATACAGGGTGTATAGGGGGTAGTGTCATTCGAGCTGTTGCAGCCAGACAGTGCGCTTGTGGTATTTACCTACATTTCCTGGTTAGCTTGCTAATTTGGTCTTTACCGATTATGAGCGAAGAAACGCCCCCCCCTCTGAACAGTTATAGTACTGGGGCCCCTTCTCCCCCTACAGTGGGTCAGAACACGGGAGGCGTGGAGGCTTTTGAGGCCTTTTCATTGTTCAGGCAATATTTGGACAATAAACTAGATTCCTTTAGAGCGGATTTGGGAGAAGGAGAGACAAAACCTAAAAAACCTAAGTCGGACAAATCTGTGAAGTTTAAGTCCCAAGGGAATAGGATTCAATTCCAATTTAACGAGGAATTGGAGGCGGATGTGGTCAAGTTACAGAAAAAACTTGATAAACGTGACTTTGACAGCTGCGTTGAGTTGGCCGCGAACCTGAGAGTTACATTGTATAAGAGAAACAAGTTGATACGACTTGCTGACAAGTCGCCCGCCGGCTGGCAAACTGTGAAGGAATACGTGTCCGACGATCTCGCTTCTGACAGTGAGGACGAGAAACGTATTAGACAGGCGGAACAGAGGGCATTGAGGAGTATAAAACTTAAACATGGTTCTAGTAAACGTAGTTCTTCGGCTGTTTTTAACAACAGTGGTAATACAGCTACACGTTACGCCTCTCCCCCCGCAGCCGCGGGGTCTGCGCCTTTTCGTGGAGGACCCTATAACTACGGAGTCACTGCCCCGCGCAGCACCGCCCCTTCGGACCAGTGTTTCTCATGTGGGGGATTCGGTCATTGGAGGAGGGACTGTGGGAAATTCAGACAGGGAGGATCTCGACAGCCACAGCAGCAGACAAACGGACCGAAGTGACGAGATTCATGATAAGTATACATATACTTCTCCCTCGTTGTTTGATTTAGACGAACTGAGCTCTCATAAACAGTTTTTTGAATATCAGGACAATCGTCCGGTTACGTCTGTTAAAGGTAGATTAAAAAGTCACGTTCAGTTTTGGAGAGATATCGGTGCTTCAGAATTTATCGTAGAAATGCTTAAGTACGGTTATGTAATACCTTTCATTTCGACCCCTCCAAAAACCTTTTCTAAAAATAACATGTCTGCAGGAAGAGAGGCTGAGTTTGTCACGCAAGCTATTGCAGATCTGGTTAATAATAAGTGTGTTGTACAAGTCCCATTTCTTCCTCACGTAGTCAATCCTTTAAGCGTTGCTTACAGCAGTTCTGGCAAGAAAAGGTTGATTTTGGATCTCAGAAGGGTCAATCTTTTTGTTTGGAAAGAGAAGATAAAATTGGAGGATTGGAACGTTGCATTAGAATTTTTTGATCGTGATTCCTATATGTTTAAATTTGACCTTAAATCCGGGTATCACCATATAGATATTTCTTGTGGTCAACAATCCTTTCTCGGGTTTTCCTGGGATGGTAAGTTTTATTGTTTTAGTGTATTGCCTTTCGGATTATCGTCAGCTCCGTACATTTTCACGAAGATCCTTAGGGCCCTTGTTAAACACTGGAGGTGGAATGGTATTAACATAGTTCTATACATAGATGACGGTCTAGGTTGTAGTTCTGAGGAAGTAACATGTCAGAAGAATAGTGATTTTGTTAGGGACACACTCTATCGCGCGGGTTTTCTTGTCAATACAGAAAAATCTGTGTGGGTCCCATGTCAAAATATTTTGTGGTTGGGTCTTAATTGGAATTCGTTGAGTTTTAGTATCTCGGTCCCCGACACTAGAGTAAGTAAACTTGTTACTAGTATCGATGCTCTTTTAGACACCTTACCAATTATTTCATCTAGACAGTTAGCAAAGGTTACAGGGTTAGTAATGTCATTTAAGCCCGTGATAGGTAATCTCTGTTGTCTGATGACAAGACAATCAATGGTGTTCATAGCGAGGTCATCATCCTGGGACGGTAAGGTCAAGGTCAACAGTAATCCATTCATTAACGAGTTGGTGTATTGGCGTGATCACGTGTGTACTTTGAATGTTAGGTATTTGGCTACATACGATGTCCCTAAAATTATCATGTTTTCTGATGCTAGTGCTTATGCTTGTGGTGCATACTCTGTAGATCTCGATAGCAGCATATTTCACAAAATGTGGACAGATACTGAGATTCCACGTAGTTCTACTTGGAGGGAAATGAAAGCTATTTCATTAGCATTACAGTCGTTTCAGTCAGTGTTAAAGGGAAAGCAAGTTAAGTGGTTTACGGACAGTAAGAATTGTGTTTCTATAGTCACCAAAGGTAGTATGAAGCCTGATTTGCACGAGATCGCGATCGACATTTTTGAAAGATGTTCTATTAATAATATTATGATAGACATCGAGTGGGTACCCAGAGACAGTAATGTGCGCGCTGATGAGATCAGTAAAATATTCGATTTCGACGACTGGTTTGTAACTGTGGAATTCTTTGAGTTTATTGACTGGCTATGGGGTAGGCATACTGTTGACAGGTTTGCCAGTGTGGATAACGCTAAACTGGAACGCTTCAATTCCAAGTTCTGGAACCCTGGCACGGAATGTGTAGATGCGTTCGCCAAGCATTGGGGAGGCGAGAATAACTGGTTGGTGCCTCCTATAAACTTGGTTATTCAGACAATCAGACACGTTCTGGTGTCTAGGTCTTGTGGTACCCTTATAGTTCCTAAGTGGCAATCAGCACCCTTTTGGACCTTTATTTTCAAGCGTGAGTATGTATACAGAGACTATGTGAAGGAGGTGTTGGAGTTTCATGAGACTGATCGCATTTTTGGGAAATGTACCGATAAGAACTCCTATTTCAACCCTGATAAATTCGTCGGTACTGTTTTAGCAGTGAGGTTGCAAGCCTAGTTTACTGTTTACTTTGTTTTACAAAATCTATTAAAAGTTTTGTACTGATTTAAATGTATTGTTCTTATATTGGGCACGTATTGTCCCGGAGAGAGGGCATGGCCACGGAGCACGTGGCTGCTGTTTACTATTGAGGTCACGTTTCATGCATTCCTGTCTAGGTCACGTGTTGTCTGTAGATACGCGTGAGTAGTTCTCGTAGTACGAGATACTACGGCCAGTGCACGGTTGTATCCTTAGCTCAGCGGATGAGTTTACGTCACGTTTTTCCATGGATGGACATGTACAGGGGCCGTACATTACATGTTGTGTTGTTTAATTTATGTGTATGAAGGTCACACACGGTGACGCTTCCTTATATATGACAAGGCCGGTACTGTTAGTACGCGTGCGAGGTCATCCCGTTGGGGCACTTCACGTGCGCGACATGATAGGTCGGCATGTGGTAGGGTGTGGTGGTCACCCGTTCAGGCAGCATTACGGTACTGATGTTAACGATTCCGTCGTTAACTGTAAATAAATAAATGAATAATAATACGTTATAGTAGTTGCTTCTCGCGTTTATATCTTATTGTGTATTCTTGTATACAACTTTCAGATGTCTTTAATCATGGGCGATGGGTCAACATGGGAACCACAAACAACAGATTTTTGCCTCTCGTCAGTGATTTAAAGAGGATAGTTACGGCATCTAAGGCTGTTAATACCCGGAAATGTTATGATCACGGGTTCAAACAATGGTGTTCTTGGGCTAATTCCTTCAAAGTTAATGTCCTGCCAGCGTCGGAACAATATGTTGCCTTATATTTAGTATCTATAATTCAATCTAGCAGTAGTGTTGCTAAGTTAGACCAGGCTATCTATTCCATCGGTTGGGTTCACCAACTGGCAGGTTTCCCGAATCCTTGTTCATCGGATTTTATAAAAATGATCAGGGCAGGGGGGTCCCGGCTGTTGGGATGTCAACCCTGTAAAAAAGAGCCTATCACTCCTGATATTTTAAAACAGTTAGTGACATTTTTTGCTAAAGACTCGTGTTCCCTGATGGATCTAAGAATAGTGTGTATGTGTTTAGTAGGTTTTGCCGGTTTCCTTAGATTTGCGGAATTGGTCAATATTAAGAGATCGGACATCGTTTTCGCTGATCAGTTCATGACTATCAGAATTCCCAGAAGTAAGACGGATGTAGTTAGCGCAGGAGCAGAAGTAGTTATTGCTAAGACTTCTACGATATTATGTCCGGTTGCCATGCTCAAACGCTATTTGACTTGTGCTAAGATTCCCTCGGACTCCACAGCTTTTATTTTTAGGCAAGTGTCATTTTGTGAAAGTTCTAATTCGTTCCAGCTTCGTAATTCTGGTCCCCTTTCTTACACTAGAGCTAGAGAACTTCTTTTAGAAAAGCTTTCATTATTAGGTTTAGATAGTAGGAAATTTGGCCACCGCGGCAGCAAACTCAGGAGTTGCTGACCGTATATTCAAGAAGCACGGTCGTTGGAAGTCCAAGACGGCCAAGGACGGTTATGTGCATGAGGGCTTGGACGAAAAACTTTCCGTTACACAAAAGCTGGGTGAGAATGTAATTTTAATGTTTGTCAGACTTTTAACCCGTTCTTTGTACTCGAAGCGCTAGCTGCAGTCAGCTATTTCCTATATTACAGTGTTGAGTTGTAATTGATAAATGATTTATGTTCGTTTGAACTGGTGAATTAGAACATAAACTTTATTTATTTCACAACAATTATGAAACAATTTATTTCAACTTATATTAATCACTCGTGTTGGCCCGGATGTTAGCGCGTGGGGGGGTCTTAGTGTGGGAGCAAACCCAGAGAAAAACCACGTGGTCAGGCAGGTGACCCCAACATTTTCACGTCCGATCGGGGAATCGAACCCCGGTCGCCTTGGTGAAAGGCAAGTGCACTATCCACTGCACCACCCGACCACCCTGTGTGAAACTGTTATAGTTAAGTACTGGAGAAAGACTACTGCGATATGAAAATGGGACAACGAAGCCCTTTTAAAAAGTGAAACTTTAATAAATATACATGTAGCAAAGGACTAGAAAGGGTATTGCCATATGGAACTTCGATAGTGAATTAATGTAGAAAGCTTATTTTCAGATAAACTTTGATAGTAAAGTAATAGAGAAAGCCCATTGCCAGACCAAGTTGGATAGTAAAAACAAACTCGATATTCTACCATAAGTCGTTGCTTTCATCACTAACACTAATCAACTCGACTCTTCCATCGAATTTGGCAAAATAATATTTCTTTTTACGAAAGAAATTTCTGATCGTCGATTTTGGCAAATCTGTAACATTTTTGATTTCCCGTTAATATTTCTGGCCTGCACTTTTGGCAAAGCTGTAAGAGTTCTGTGGGTACATTTGATTAGCAAGCCTGCGGGTAACAATCGCGCGAGTGCCTACTGTCTACGCTCTGAAATTACTCCGGTCCCCGTCAATGAGGCAAACTGTCAGCAATAGTTGGGAAATAGTATCGGTCATTGATGCACTGATCTATGTAAACAGCTGAAGATTGATCTGATCCCGGCTCGTGTAAACAAGTGGCCCTGGCAAGCTTCCCGACTATCACGGCGAAACATCGGTACTAAAGTAGTGGGGCCACTTCTTCCTAGAGTTCACGTAGAAGTGAATGGTCATTTCCTGCCAAACTAACCGGCGTCCTGTCCACAGACCGGCAACGCTTCACTCTGTTGGTACTATCTTGATCACTAACCTTTCGACCCCCTCCCAGATTACAAATTCCCCGGGGGGGGGGGGGGGGGGGGTATATTGTTAATGTAGCTCGTATCAAAGTCTGCTGACACGTCCAATCACCATGATATATGTATACCATTTCCATTTGTCTTGTATGCATGTCGAATGCCAGGCTGTTGAAAATCCGTATTCCTTTTTATTTACAGTTGTGTTTTCCTGTCCAAAACCTGAATGTAGCAATATCAAACTGTATGAAAGAAATATTCAATTAAGGATCGTTGGCTGCCTGAGGCTCCGCAGAACCGACTCTGCCTGATTGGTCAAAGCAAAATATGAACAGATAAAGTTGCGTTTTCCGTACTGTCACCACTTTGTTTATAAATATGGCGGATACCAGCAGAAATTTTAGTTACCATCGGATCGAGATTCGTTTACTTCAGTTTTATAACACACAACTAACTATACGTTACACGAGTCCAATGCTGAGTTGACAACACAATGAAAGTGAGAATGGAATAGGTTTCGTGGCTGGCAGTAAATAAGGAGGAAATCAATGTGGAGACTGTCATGCCAGTCATTTCGATTAACGTAAAACATACACGTGATAACATCTAACATTTCTATGACTCACAATGTAGATACAGATATGTCATTCCTAACTACTTTACATCACGTTGGTCAATTGTAATGCTGTTCCTTCAATATAATTTTTATTGACGAAAATCACACAAATCAGGGTATTTATCGAATAATCTTTTTTATCGGATCATTGTTTTCAAAATCTAATTTCTAGGGCGTTTATACACTAGTGGAAATTTGTTTGTGCTGGTATGTCGATATGAACCGTCGGGGATTCCACACATTCCGCAGAATGTCGCCAGACCGCCCAAGTACTTGTCGCACCAACTTAATTATCCTCAGTAACAACAACAAACAGTAAAAACCTGTCTAACTTGTCGTCTGTCTATCATTTACATCTGTCTATAAATACCACCTGCCAATAGCGATCGTCTTTATATATGATGTCCATCTGTCTAACTTGTCGTCTGTCTAGTGTCATTTACATCTGTCTATAAATACCACCTTTCTATAGCGATCGTCTTTAGATATGATGTCCACATGTCTAACTTGTCTGTTTATCATTTATATCTGTCTATAAATACCACCTGTCTATAACGATCGTCTTTATATATGATGCCCACCTGTCTGGAAGACAACCTTTCTAAAAAGACCCCTCCATAAAGATCCTATTTCGTTGAAGACATTTCGTTCTTCATTAACCCCGATAAGTCAACAATTTTGTATTAAAGATCTCCTGTCTATAAAACCATACTTGTCCTGTAAAACTCGTTTGATAAATATTACCCGTCTATATAGACCGTCTGTATATATAGAGAATAATACATGCCTTTTTCCATATCACACCCAGTATCAACCCGAGACTGAAACATCAGCCCAAGGGCCGAAGGCCCGAGGGCTGATATTGGTTGAGGGTTGCTACCGAGTGTGATATGGAAAAAGGCATGCTTTATTCTGTTTATTACATACTTACTTATAAAAGCTACTACATTTGTATCTTCTGATATATTTTTCTTTTGAAATATTGAAAAACGAAAAATTTCCAAACGGGGTGTGATACGGATTTTGCGGTCTGATACGGTTTTTGGGGTATGATACGGCGGAGGCTGATACAGGTTTTGGGGTGTGATACGGCGAGGGCTGATATGGGTAAGAGCAATTGTGTCGTATCGCATTTACAAAAATCCCGTATTTATTAGTAAGTATGTAATAAAAGTCTATTAAAGCTCTATTTCTGAAAAAAACCCGCAATAAAGATCATTATTAAGACAGATTTTGTTCTCTTCCTTTGGCGTTATTTATAAAACACGGTTTCAAGTTACATCTATATTTCTAGAAAGGTAAACCTGACCAGTGTAGTTTCCCGTGCTATCGCTTGCCCTAGAACAGAAAAGATATGCGTGCCGTTACCAAGGGTACGCCTGTTCTTATATATATATCTTCATATATAACTTACAGTTCATCCGGCAGGAGTCATCACTGGGGTCCTTAATGTACTTTAATCCCATCAGGTGCTCACGAACCAACACTAACTTGTGGAATAAGCCAGCATATTAATACATATAACAAACTTTGCAGCACTAAATGTGATTGCGTTTGTACCCTAGGGATTCACATGGCTGTCGGTGTTTAATGCACTGAATGTGGACCCGGTCTGCTATAAATGTACTAGACGTTTAACGAGCGATGCGCTATGATATCTTAATACACACATTTAGCGTAAAACAATTTCAAAACTAATTTGGTTTTCTGTCGTCGATCATCTACTGTACGTCTGTTTTAATCACGGATGATGTAAAATTCCACATTTATCAATCTATTTCCGCTGCTGTGTAATAACATACCGAATGTGTACGTATATACCTTTATCACGCCTCGCCGTGCAATCAGTTAGCCTTGCTGATATGGTCGGCACATTAATGAAGATTGCACACAATGTATACTTAATACTTAGTATTACTAAGGTATCCAAAGATCACACTAAGGTTTCCCGCCATTTCCAGCCGTCTTTAGACAGCTAATTATTCACCTCCCCGTACTAGGCCTCGTTCTCGGTTTGGTCGTCTGTCATTGGTAACTACCAATGTGTCTAACCTGTAATGGTTGTCTGGTCATCTCGTCAGTTTCCACAGACGTCATAGTTGGTGGAGAAGTAGAGTATTCATTTTATCCCGCCATCAAGTATCGCTATATCTCACACAGTACGTGACCGTAATTATTCCACCCTTCGGTCATATTTCAGTCTATTTTCTAAGGTATAACCACTCTTTCACAGAAATGAGATTGTAGTGGTATATTTTTGTAATTTTTAGGGAGAAAATGGCATAGCATATTATTTCCGACTGCAAAACCATACCTTAGAAACCAGGAAACAGAATATATATAACAATATTGTGGTATAAAAATAGCGAACAAAATCTTCCGTTTATCCCCAAACTAATACTACGAACCGAGTAGCGTAGACAACCAGAGACACGGAGCGCTGATTGGCACTGCTGCGTTCTAGGGATTTCATCGCAGATGACCTTTTGAAACTAGCTTGAATATTTCAGTAAATTGAAGATGATGTGGCACCAATTCGACTGTTAAAGCCTGTTCGTACGGGTAGTCGCGATGTCCCAGTAGCTCGGAATTAATGAAAGTCGAATTTGCTAACAAAAGGGTGAATGCCTTTAATACCAAGGGTCCGTTGATACAAATGTAACCTTATCATTTCCTACACTTATATTTATTACTTTCATGTTTTTTCAACTACATACGCAAACGCTAACAGCTTGATGACCTAAGAATAACTTCTCCTTCGGTATGATTTTGTTTCCACTTATTTATGGTCTAGCTGGAGACGTAGTAACTGTCGATCTGAATGTTATTCATATTCATATTATGAAGTTAGGAGAGATATTCGTGAAAGTACCGAGAGACTCCTGTCATCAGTTGAAATGTGTGTTTTAAGACACTGGTGGGTTCTCAGGAAGGCTATGTAATAAAAAAAAATGGCAAGATAAGAGTATGCCTAAGAGTACATCTCAGAGTGGGTTTAAACTATGAGGTCCATCATTCTAAAAGAAGATAAAGAAATTGAATACAAAACTGTGCATTTCTTGACAATGATGTCCTTACCTACCACACTCAACGCTCTCTAATGATAAATATATAGTTGTGTCGACA